CTCTGGCCCCAGCTCCGCGTCTGCCTCCGGGTCTCCCCGGCGGAGCAGCCTCGCCTCGAGTTCCTCATGCGCAAGTGCGGCTGGTTCGTGCGGGAGCTGCGCGTTGAGTTCGCCGCCGAGAATTACCTGAGCGGAGGCGGCGGGCCGGGCGACGGAGGCGGCGCGGACCCCGGGACCGGCGGGGAAGAAGTGGAGGCCTTGCAGCTGTCCGCCCGTTGGCTGGAAGTGCTGCGCACCTACTTGGAGCTGGTGCTGTGCGTGCTGGTCAGCATCCGGAACAACAGGTAGGCTCGTCTCGGCTCCTCCACCACCACCACCACCACCACCCCGCACCCGGCCCCCCCTCCCCCACCGCCACCGCGGGGCTCAGAGTGCCTCCCTCCTCTCACCCAGAAGTAGATTCCGTGAGGCTCTGCTTGGCCCGCTTCGGCGTCGCTCTCTGCAGCGGCTGGGGGCGTCACGTCTCACCTGGCGGTGGTATTGAGGCAGGAAGGCAGAACGGGGGTCAGCAGGACTACTTTGTAAACAGGGGTGTCCTGGGCGTTGATCAGACATCACTCCTGGCGCCTTCCAGGCAGTGTCTCATTCATCCTCCCTCCGTGGCGGTGCCATGGAGCTGACAGGCGCCGGCATTACTCATTTGACAGACAGGAAAGCTGAAACTTGGAGCGTAAGGCCTGTGAGTTTGGGGAGAAATAAAAACGTAACGCGGTTTTTCTGACTCAACCTGTCCATTCAAAGCAGATAGCTAGACAGGGGGTGGGGCAGCATGCTACCGGTGTCATAATTACAAGACTCTTCCTAAAAGAAATCTTGGACAGCCACTTTCTGGCTGGGAGTAGTTTGGATTAACTGGGCCAGGCACAAAGAGTAGAAGAAGTGCTTGTTAAACCTAGGGATTGGGGAAGAGCCTGCTCATCGGGATTGGAAGTCCTTCCCCATACACCTCCGGACTCCGCTTGTCCCGAGTGAGGCACCGGAAAGCACAGCACAGCATGGTGGTTGCCTGTGTTGGGCGAATTGGCCGATGTCTGCAGAGGGTCAGCACGTATGTAACTGTCCTCGTTTTAGATTAGGATTTTACTGTAATTCTAGGACTAACTTCCTATGTTCTATGTTCTAACTGATTTTCCTAATAAGAATTATTATTTCTATTCTCTATGGCCCTCTCCATAATCCCATTAATTTTTATTTTCTGTATCTGGATATTCTAACTAACCTTACAATTAAACTATGAGTTGGAAAAAAGTTCAAAAGGTCAAAGGAGCAACGTACATAGTAATAATAGTTGAGCAGTTCCCAGGTACTTTCACATTCACTGTCTTAGTTGATCCTTTCAGTGACCCTGTGCATTAGGCAGGAGGGCTACTATTAGAAAGGAAACTGACACTGGACTATGTCAAGTGATGGCACATTGTTTTACAGCATTGTTTTTCTCCAAGAGCAAGCAGTGTCTTTACTTTTGCAATAAATATAGTATGTTGAACGTTATGCATTATGTTGAACAGGATTAATGCTAAACCGAATATATATATATATGCTAATCCCTTCACCTTTATCCAGTCACCCCCACTCTCCCTCCCCTCAGACACCCGCCAGTCTGTTCCATGTATCCATACTTTTGTCTGAATCAAAAGTGGGCAAGATAAGCATATAGCTCCAAGTTGTATCTGAGCATGGCTCCAATATTCCAGTGGCCTGTGTATTTCCCTAGCTCTTCACAAAGCATTCCATTTCCTTACTTTCATTTTATGTGGCAAGAAAGGCTTTTTGAGGCCTTGATCAGATTGGAGACTCTTTGACAGAGTCAAATGCATGGCTAGAGGACCAACTGACCCTAAAGTTGAAAGGATTCTATCTGTGAGCACTTAACTACTGATGAGATCAAGAGTGGGGGTGAATTCAGCCAATACCAATTAGATTTTCATGTTCGGAGATACAATAGCACTTCTGAGCAACCTTCCAAAAAAGTGTGCCTTTGGTCTAAGAACAAGTCTTGCACAGTGCCTAGTTCCTCTTAGTGTTTTAAGAACTGGTTTGTTAGTTGGATAGGTAGATAACATTACATAGACATTTTCTTCCCTTTGGTGTTTAATTTTTCTCTCCCTCCCTTCCTCCCCATGACTTTTTTTTCCAGCTTTATTAAGGTATACTTGACAAGTAAACATATACCTTCCACTTTTATTAGCATCCCAATCTACCTATCTATGAGACCACCCTATACCTGTCCTTTTGGGTTAACTATCATTTCTATACACTGTCATTCCTGATTTTAAGGCTTTGTCATTTACTATAGGGATGGTGCTGTGTTGTATAGCCAAACAAAGTGTAGTGTCATTACATGTATTACTACTAATGCTATTTCTAAGGTTTTTAAATTTATGTTTGGAAGTAAGTTAATCTCATCACGGCCCCCCCACCAGTCTGGTCGCCCCACGCAGCCTGCTGTTCAGTTGTTTGGTCGTCCCTCACTAACCCCCCTGCCAGCCTGGTCATAGGCTGCCATCTTGTGAGGGTGTGAGGGTTAATTTGCATATTACCTCTTTATTATATAGGATAGCATGTTGTCTAGCAATTTTGTATGTCCATCTCATTTGTTAAAATTTTGTATGTCAGCCTTATTGTTTTAATCTTTTTTGTATAACCTCTGTGATTTGAGGATGATAGTAATTGAGATGGTAATTGAGTAAATGAATTTGTAAAGCAAATTCTGAGAAATTGCTTTTAGTTAATGGATTGCTTTTAGTAAGGAATGCTATTATAGGCTGATAACTTATTTCTGGTCTCTAAAGTTGTGCTGTCTAATATGGTAGTCACTAGCCACATATAGATTTTTATTTTATTTTATTTTTTTTTAGAGAGAGGAAGGGTGAGAGAGAATTAGAAACATCGAGCAGCTGCCTCCTGCACACCCCCTACTGGGGATCAAGCCTGCAACCTAGGCATGGACCCTGACTGGGAATTGAACCAGTGACCTCTTAGTGCATGGGACGACACTCATTCCACTGAGACACACTAGCCGAGCATAGCCACATATAGCTATTTAATTTGTTGAGTAATTAAAGATTTAGTTAGTCACACTAGCCACATTTCAAGTGCAATAGCCATATGTGGATAGTGGCTACCATATTGGACAGCATGGAATAGAGCATTTCCATTATGACAGAGGTTTATTGGCAACATTTCTGTAAAAAGTTTGTTTGATTTGGTTGTGGTTATTTATTAGTACCTGTGAGAGCAGGAAATATGTTTGTTTATTTTTTTAATATATTTTTATTGATTTCAGAGAGAGAGGGAGAGAGAGATAGAAACATCGATGATGAGAGAGAATCATTGATTGGCTGCCTCCTGCACGCCCCACACTGGGGATCAAACCCGCAACCCAGGCATGTGCCCTTGACTGGAATCAAACCTGGGACCCTTCAGTCCGCAGGCTGACGCTCTATCCACTGAGCCAAACCAGCTAGGGCCGTTTTTATTTTTTTAATATATATTTTCATTTATTTCAGAGAGAGGGAAGGGGAGGGAGAGAGAGAAACATCAGTGATGAGAGGGAATCATTGATTAGCTGCCTCCTGCATGCCCCACACTGGGGATCGAGACCACAACCCAGGCATGTGCACTGATCGGGAATCGAACCCTAACCTCCTGGTTCATAAGTTGATGCTCAACCACTGAACCATGCCGGCCTGGCGAGGAGGAAATATGTTATCAAAGTATTATGTGGATATAAACACACTTGATATTAAACATGAACCAAAAAGAATAGAATTGACCTGAAAGAATTCCATGCAGTGATGTAGTTTAGTTTAGCTTTTATCTATTTAAAAAAGGAAAATATTGCATTTTATGAGCTACTTTACAGCATTGTAGAACGTTTTAACTTTTTTAAGAGCATCATTTTAAAGTATCAAGTTCTTACAGATTTTCCTTTTCCATAGTTAATTAGTTTTAGCTGTATTAACTCTAAGGTGGCTGTTTTTGACATTTTGGCACTGGTACTACTTTATTACATCAAAAGAAATAATTTTGGATCCTCTGAAATGAAAGAAAACAATCTGAAGTTGCTGCCACAGGTAAAGTTCCCCAATTTTGAACCACAGAAGAGTTCCCCAGTTTTGAACTACCCAAGATATTATGATTAAAATCTTCAGTTGTATTAAACAGTCCAACAGAAATACCATAAAAAGTTAAAAGGTTTTTAGCCCTCTGCAATGATAAGTTAAGGATTAATTCTTATTTTCATAGGTAGTTAAGATTGGTTTTGAGAAATTGCTCAAACCCACTAAATCTATATGTGTAGATATTTATAAAAGGTTATCAAAAATTGTGATAAAAAATTGTGATGGTGGCCCTAGCTGGTTTGGTTCAGTGGATAGAGCATCGGCCTGGGGACTGAAGGGTCCCAGGTTCGTTTCCAGTCAAGGGCATGTACCTTGGTTGCAGGCACATCCCCAGTAGGGGGTGTGCAGGAGGCAGCTGATCGATGCTTCTCTCTCATCTGTTTCTAACTATCCCTCTCCCTTCCTCTCTGTAAAAAACCAATAAAATAAATATTTTTTAAAAATTGTGGTGGTGGTTTAGTACATAGGGAAATTCTTATGTTAAAAAAACAAGATATCTCTTTTTAATGGAAGTTTAATATACATATTTAAGTTTTATGTTTTTTATATGCATACTAAAACTATGGTTGAAAGATAAGTACAAATCATAGGTTTTGAGGAAATAATTTTATTTTTCTGGGCAATTGTTATTTTTAGAGGAATTCCAAGGGTATAATGTACCTGAAAACTGGTCTGCACCCTAAATTTGTGATGTGTGAGGTGTAGCTAAACAGTCCCTAGTTTTTGTCATGCACTAAGGTAAATATAACATTCAACAAATATTTACTGAATGCCAGGCCCTCTTCTAGCAGCTGGGGATACAGCAGTAATCAAAAAGCCTTGTCATTATAGAGCTTGTTCTAATGGGAAAAAAAGACAAAAATATGTAGTATCACAGTTGGTAATACATGCATGAAGCAAAATGAAGCACTGAGGGGAGGTAGGAATGGTGGAGGTGGAAAGGAGTGTTGTGTAAAATAGGGAACTTAAGGAAAGAAGTAGTGTTCGAAGGAAAGGAAGGGAGTATAAGCCAGGTGTCTCTTTGGAGAGTGATTCCTGAGGGGAGGAGCAGTAATGGAAGAGTGGTATTTTAGTGGGAATATGCATACTTAAGTATATCACAGAGAACAATGAAATGTACAAGAAAGAGGTCAGCCACTAAGAAGGAAAAGTGATGTGGA